TAAAGTATGGATGGATTATGTGAAAGAGGTTATGATTTAGAAAGGAGTGGATTCAGATATGACGGCTGATAGAGATGTATAGAAGAGCAGCACATACTGTGCCAACCCTCCATAAGGGATAAGGGCAAGTTGATGATAAACTAAGTACATAACAAATTACTGTAAATAATTTAAAAGTAATCGCACTAAAATAGTCTTCATTAGTTAGCAGCAACTTGGAATATTGCGGCGTCGGTTGGAACACATATTATAATGAATATATTAAGCGCTTTAAGATTTCTCTTGCATTTAACTTTCACCAGCAAATTATAATAAGTAAAAAAAGTTACAATTTTGAAGCATTTTAGTTCGGAATCGCTTACTACCATAAAACAAAATAGTTTTACACTTTCAAACTACATTTTCGTTCGTACATCGTAAACTTGAAGCATCTGAAATTCTGTTCCAAAGTCTGATTAAATCACTTCGTATTAGGTTTACGTGTTAGGCATTTTCTAGATAAGCTATTGATCTACTATCACTTTTTATTATAATCCTGTATTTTTTAGATCTCATATTCTATAATCCCGAAGTCCTATGTAAATTGCAGCCCAATGCATATGACTGTAATAAAAGCGGATATAATGTACCTCGGTGAGTAACATAAGATTAAAAGTCTGTCCCACCATAGCTTCAATCACTAAGATAGCTTAAAATAATGTCACTGCCAGATAAAGGAACAAAATCCGATATTTCCACCGTCCATTTTACACGGATTGTTATCAGACGATTTACAATTTGGTCAGACTGAACCTAACTGTCCAAGCTGAAATAATAATTGTTTCCTTCGAACCAAAATTGTCATTTCCAGGTATTATTTTGACATCAAATTAGAGGATTGCAGAGCGGGTTCCTTCGGCAATAATTGTGAATACAATCTCAATCAATTCAAATCTATAAAAACATGTCACAGCACTTGTCGATGTATGTACGCAGCTTTGTTTATTATCTAATTTTTGTAGTTCTAATGTGTTTTACTAGTTACTAGTATTTTTGGAGTTATGGTTTTACGTTTATCCGTTGAGCCGTTCTGTTCCGTTACTACTCGTATGTATAAAGAAACACCCATTCATACAAACTTACGTATTTATAATGTTAAGACGATGGTCTAAACAATTATAATATGAAACTTAGATGAATATCTAGAATCTTTCAAGAATTTGAAAGGCTGACGTGCTTTCTCATCCTGCACAAAAAACATAGCAATTGCGCTCTGGAGTATTCTGTTGCGGATACAAAATATAAGTGTTAAAATTTTAATATACTTAATTATTTTCAGTGTCAGGTGTAGACCCAATCGATTACAAACTTCCATTTGAGATATCTTGCAGACTGCAACCTGATTTTGGCAGGTGTAACAGTTATCATCCTATGTAAGTAAATATCCGACTTTTTTTTCCGGTTATTTAAAGCTGGGAATAATTGTAAATCAATGTTTTGACACAGGAAATCTAAAGTTATAAAACCTCAGTTTAATTGCAACGCCAAAATATATGTTTATTATTATAGGGATAACAAACCTACGTAGGTTATCTAACTAAATATCATCATGCATAATATCTAGCATTTTTCTATAAAAAAATAAGTCACCTTCCATAAAAGATGGTACTTTTGTAAATAAGTGAAGCCATTTCTTAGATTACAAATTATATACCGATAGTCAATATGGGTAATATGAATTTATTTTTATTTATCTATACTCATATTATAAAAAGGAAAGTTTTTTCATTTATGTATCGAAATAACTAAAAAACTACTGGGCCGATTTTAAAAATTCAGTACCATTACAAAGATAATTTATCTGTGAGTAACATAGGCTATATATTTTAATTTCACGGGGGCGAAGTCGCGAACAACAGCTAGTATGAAAATAAAGGCAATTAAATTTTATTAATTCGCAAAGTTTGAAATGTATTATTTTGTACAGGTGGTACTTCGATATGACAACGAGGACTTGCAAAGGTTTTTCTTACAGCGGTTGTGGTGGCAATTTGAACAGATTTCATAACAGTCGTATCTGCACTAAACGATGTCGATCACTTGTTGAATGATTGTATCAAATAAAAAAATTGTGACTTAATACAAACGCCTTTTATTTCGCGCGAATTAGATAAATGATCGGGATCCTAAATATTCTCAAATATCAAAGTCTCGTGCAAATCATTGCAGCTGCAGTGTATACGTCATTTCCAGTCGAATTTATAATTTTACTAGCTTTCGCCCGCGACTCCGTCCTTGTGGAATTAAAGAAAAAAACAAAAGTGAGCTCATGTGTTCTTCCAGACTATCCTCTACGTCTATAACAAATTTCATTGAAATCTGTTCAGCCGCTTAGGCTACAAACTCTAACAAACCATCCGTCCGTCTATCCATACATTTGCATTTATAATATAAGGTTAGTATGATATACAAAAGTTGTAAAGAAGTAGTTTTCGCTTCAGCACACTACCTTTCCTTTTTGGCATGTACATTTAAGGCATGTTGCAGTAATCTGCACACTAGTAAAACACCAGGAAAATTTTTAAATAACTAAAAATGAAACACTTTTTGGTAAAACCGCTTTTTATTAATTTTACATATAAAAAAAAGAAATGTTATAAAAATTACAAAATAAGTTTATATGTAGCTTAAACGCATTACAGAACATTCACGTTAATTAAATTTTTTACCGAAAATGCAAATGAAATCATAAAATATTGACAAATTAACTGAAAAAATTAAATAACGAAATGCTCGTTTTTGTATATCTCGCGATCTTCTGTTTTCTCCGTGTTAAAGGGCACGACGATATTCAACTTAGTGTCGAAGGTGCCGGGCTTGGCCAGGTTCACGAGCTGTTCCGCCACTTCCTGTCCACCACGCTGTATTGCTTCCTCCGTCTCCACACCTGTTAACAACTCTCACTAAATGTTACCATCAAATAGTAAATTCCGACAATTTCAAATCGAACTTCAATTTTTTTTAAAATTGAATAACGATTTAATCACAGCCCTGCTAATCCCATCTAGATCATTAGCTACCGACCTCCAAGTCATAATTCATAAGATGTTTCCTTATTTGTAAATCGCAACAGCAAATAAAAAAAAACAGGGATGCTAATTCGACAGTTCGTAAACTGATAATCAACAACTGATATTAACAATCTAAACAAGAGCTGTCACTGCCAAAATAATCCTACGACAACATGACATTTCTGTTATATTCTTGTAAGAAACAGACACGCTTTTGGAAAGCCGTTTCGGCAGATTTTACTCACGGTATAACTTACCAAGATGCACTGTGCATAATACATTGGGATGATTAAAGACCTCATATTTCGACATCACACTACGAGCATTTTCTTCATACAAATCAAACGCTTTTCCACCTACCTGTAATGTTAAAAAACAATTCTAGAATAATCTATACTTTTGTTTACCCGAGTGGCTAAGAGGATAATGTTCCTCACAAGTATGCACATTACTTAAGTTTGTTTTTATGTACAGTCGCGAAGATTTGCGTTTTATCCACTTCGTACCTTGCTACGTGACAAACACCGCCTGATTCTGCGATTGTTTTTATATGGATTTGTATGCATGTAAATCCCAATGTCACAGACAACAGCCGAGCGACTGAATCGATTTGTTCACTTCTCCCCAGTATCATAGGTTATGTAGCATTGGCATAAAACACCTACAGTGGACGTGAGAATTAAATTTCTATGAAAATAGTGAAATGTCTAGTTCGGATCTCACTCGCTCTAACTTGCTTTTTGTAACGTCGGATGTTTTCAGTCGGATTATCAATTTTTTCTGACGTCAATGAGGGTTGAAATGTATTAATGTATGTACATACATAATCTGCCTACTTAGGACGATACAATGTTTTTCTTGTATGTTTCTCCTTGAAATCGTTCTAGAAAAGTGGGAATAATAAAAAACACTAACTTGTCCCGAGACGAGTCCATCGTGCGCAAATTTTAACCAATCACGCATGTTGATCTGGTCGATATTACCCACTGTCACTATTTTTACGCCCCACTTGCATGTTTTCACCATATCAAAGTCGATAAAAGCTGTGAACAATTTAACGTTTAACAACTTTTTTTAATTAATAAATTTTTTTATAATAAATTACAACTTACCGCAAGAATTTTTAAAAGGAGCTGTGTAAAGCACAATGTAATCAGCAATGGGCCAAATATCGTCGATAGCCATCTTTGTCATTCCAAAGTCTTCGAATTTCTCCGCCGGGACATTCGGGTCCCAGCCAATTATCTGTACAAAGAGTTAATCATAAAAATAACATTGCTTTAAAAATAAACTCAATACCATAATGACAGACACATCTGGCCACAAATAACTTAGACAGTGTTTTCAATAGGTTTCAGCTTAAACAGACATCAACTCCTTTTATACCTTGAATACCATTCTGTGTGTATGTTTAATAAATCGTGATTATTGAAATACATATGTAGGATTGCGAAATCCGATTGAATCTAATATTATAAATGCGAAAATTTACATGGATAGATGGACGAATGGATGGATGGATGTTTGTTAGAGTTTGTAGCCTAAACAGCTGAACGGATTTCGGTAAAATTTGGTACAGATGTAGAGGATAGGTCTGGAAGAATACATAGGCTACTCACGTTCGTTATTTCTAATTCCACGCGGACGTAGTCGCGGGCGAAAGCTAGTAATAAATAATAATGAATTTCCGAAAATAGTGTGTTGATACATAGTAATGGTAAAAACTAGGCTTGCAACAAATATTCGGTCCTATTCTACATTCGATCTATTCGGCTGCTTTTTTTTACAGCCGAATACCGAATACTTAAGTAGTACATTATTATAGTGAGACAATTTAGAAACTAACAAACAATCATTACGTGTTAGTCATGTTTGCATTTCTTTTATAATCATTTAAGTAGTCATCTATCTATACACAATAAAATTGGATTATCTGTTTTAATATCAAAAGAAAAATTCCATATTTCAGGAAGATGATGTATTTGCGTTTCTGATAACAAAAATACCATTTAAAAAATGTTTTGTTTGTCTCCCTGTGTGTCCGCAAATCGCGTTTGTTCCGGGTTATATCTGAAAAGACTGGGGCTAATTTTGACCGGACTTTTCACTGAAGGGCAGCTGACATATTTTAAGCTATTTTTTTATTTTAATATTGCGCGGAGAAAGTCGCGAGCAACAAATTGTTGGTACATAAAACAGATACATAACAGAACAAACAGATACAAACACATACATACCTTGTGTATTATAGAAGATAAGAGTCTTTTTATACATTATTTTCGTAATCAAAATTTAGAAGAGGAAGGTTAATTTTTACGATCTTTACTGCTTTTTTTTTCCACCATCTAAGCTTGTACACAAATCACGTGTCTATAAGTTTTAGCACTAAAATTCGGCGAAATACTTTTATACGTCCTTACATTCGGGACTCGTAGAATATTCGGTATTCGGATTATTGTCGAATATACTATTTCTTACAAGTCTATAAAACATATAACCTCGTTGACGTCCATATTATTTAATCAACGGCGTGAACAAGGTGAAAAGTGTGTTTAATAAAACAGTGTCTAAGTACAATTTTGGGGAAATACAGGGTAAGTTTAAAGCAAAACATCCGTACTGTCATCCCGAAGGCCTTCATGCGTTCTGCGACGAGTTTACCAACATCGCTGAAACCGATTAAGGCGAGGTTCTTGCCGTTCAACTCGCCGCCGAGGTACAGCACGTTATGGAGATCGAGCAATTTGTTAGGCATCTCCACCATCCTCCGAGCAAGCGCCAACACCATACCACACGTGAATTCGCACATGCTCACCTCGCCGGTCGTCGGTGAACTGCACACATGATTTACTTTATGCAGACCATAATTGACCTAATGTAACTCCTAGCGTTATTGATGTAACTGTACAGTTATGGATACAATTAGGATATGCCTGCAAGCACAACAGTGGTAATACCGCTTTAACATCTTAGCGCGAATGGGCCAGCATGCTCCGTGTAATACCACGACAACACAGAAGACAGGCGTGAATGGAAGCAATTCCGTGTTTCGTCTGATGAGTGTGGTGCCGGAGGCCTAATTTAAGTTCCTTTCTCTTTACCACCCTTTTCTTATAAGGAGAGGATGGGAACGGGAAGTGGATTTGACGATGGAGGAGATGCATAGGAAGGGGAAATATCCTCTTTATGTGCGTCTCCTCCTCCGTCAGATAAAAACAGGCAACGCATCTGCAATTGCGGATGTCTACGGGCAGCGTTTGCTTCGCCATTTTGGCGGATTTAGGTGGATTCTTGCTCGTTTGCCACCTTATGTTATAAAAAAAAAAACTATCGCTACCTGGTATCCGATAGTCACAAATCAAAAACTAATAGTTAATTTAAACATTGAGAAGAGTCTCTGCGTGTCAAATTTGAGAGATATTACCGTACAAAGAAGTTATCGGTGAAATGTTATTCCCTATATCTAGTCCATATATATCTTAAATGTCTTTCGGTATCCATTGACATCTTAATCCAAAGACTGTAAACTACTAGTTTCTATTAGTAATCTAAGCTTCTGCTTGTCTGATTGGCATAAAGCCCACTACAGACGCCCTGTTCAGTTAAATAACTCGTTGCATGTGTAGGCAAAACTTTAACTGTCTATTGCACTGTACAGTTAAAATTTTGCTCACACATAGTTAATAGCACATGAGAAGATGAAAAGCGTACAGAGTGATAGCTTCTTACTACAAGCACGGTATATACCTATGTGATTAACCACTGGCCAAATGAAGCGGACTCAGCCGGTTTCATATAAAACCTTGTCTCTGTACCAATTTATTTCCTCTGTGGTTTATGTCCTCATCCTTAAATAGTCCGACTGTTCAGTTTAAATAGTAGTAGTAGTAATAATAGTAGTCAGAGCTGAGCGTCTGTACCGACAGACAGTAGAACAATCTAGTTAAGTCCGGTGGCTTAATATAATAAGTTACTTACTTGATAACGCCTATTTTTCGGTGCATAGCCGCAAAGAGATCGATGTTTTTGCAGTACGCACCAGCGCTAGCCACCACTTTCAGGTCTTTAGCGGCCTTCAGCACGTTGAAGGTAACTTTAGTTTTATTTCTCACGACTAACGCATCGTAGTACTAAAATAAAAAAAAAATAGCTCAATTCCTACATCTAGAATATCTACATTACACTACGGTGATGTCACTACTATGTTAAAAGTCAACATAACATCTACAAGCTTTCGCCTGCGATTCCGTCTGCTTGGAAATAAAAAAAATAGTAGCCTATTTGTTCTTGCAGACTACGCGCTACATCTATGCCAATTTTCAGCGAGTTCCGTTCAGCAGTTTAGGCTACGAACTTTAACAAACATCTATCCATCCACCTAAAGTTATGCATTTATAATATAGAAATACATATTATTAAAAAAAAAAACAAATACCATTTATTGGATAAAAGCACAATATTAGTTAGCAGGATTTAATAAGAGAAATCTACAATACAGTTACTGGCCACACGCTTTGATTTTAAAAGAAATAACACTATAAAATTTTCCTCAATTGTGAATTTTAGATATTCTACAAGTGTAAAGTTCAATAGAAATTTAATGAAAACACTTACTGGTATCTTAGCGATCAGACTCTCTTCAGACAGAGACTTTCTTATGGTGACATGAAATCCATGGGTCTTCAGAATCTCTACACTTTTTCCACCCACGGAGTCCATCAACAGCACCGATTGAATATCCATTGTGAACGTATATCTATAAGTAATGTTTGAGTTATTTAACTTATAATACTTTCCCTAAAAAATCTCGAAATAGGCTCAAAACTCCTTAATATTTTATATAAAATATTATTTTTATGTTTTAAAACATTTAATAAATGACCTCTATCAATCACAATTTTATTACAAAAAATGTACATTTTTTTTTCAAAAAACGATAAAATTAAAAATTTTTAAAATAATGCTTACAGTTCAAACTTCAATTCAGAAAGGACACCACTTCTGATTTCAAAACTCACAAACTGTTAATCAAACAATTATTAAATAACACTAATACGTCCAAAGCACAACAGGTAAGCTCTAAGTCTAAGGGAATCGTGAGAAATATTGTCTTACACGATAATATAAATACACGTCCTTTGTAGGGTAACCATATTCCATACAACAGATAATACTTTAAATCAGGACACGCTATTCATATTTATACCTATTTTTAAAATCCATTAGTTTAAATTGTAATTTAGTTACAAAAGTCAGTTATTAAAATTTAATGGTTTATTAAGTTAATACAAAAAATTAGTAAAAACGTGTAGAATTTGCGTAAATATAATATTTATTTATCTAAACTAATATAAATAAAGCGTAAATATACACTACTTTGTAGCGTAGGATGTCAGTAATCACAGCACATTTTTGAATAATACTTTTTTTATTACAAAACCCAATAAGGACCATAAAAACCCCATAAAACCCATTAAGGAAGCAAGGCTATTATGTATCGGTAATTTTGACATTTGCGATTGAGAATTTGACAATTGTACACAATTTTTTTTATTATGACGTCATAATAAATTAATGTATTTTCTTGAAAAACCGTTATAAATAAACTTATTTATAATATATAAAATAAGTTTATTTATAACGGTTTTTCAAGAAAATACATAATCTTTAAGTATACAGAGTACATAGGTTTTATGTTAATAAATGTAATGATTAAGTTACGGAAAGAAATCTAAAAATTACCAAACAAATGACCATACAAAAGTAATAAATCTATTTATCCATGGATATTAAGAACATTTGTGTCGTGTGGTCACACTACACTAGGTGTTGATTTTCGCTGCGCTACAATGCAACGTTTATATAACGCAAGATCAGCTTTGAGGTTCCGTTGAAAAGAAGCGATTACTACTCATGCATTTGTTTACGAGTAAATGTATGTAAGTATATTATCTCTCGTAGATTAAGCATGGGAATGACAGATGATTTTTTTTACTTCAATCTACTCTATGAAACAATTTATTTTCAACTAGCTTTTGCCCGCGACTTCATCCGCGTGAAATTTAAAAGTTCAAAACTAACGTTAACCCTTTTTTCAACCTATTACCAAAAGTATTAACTTAGTAGTAATCAACGTAGTAACAGAAATCTACCGATGCAAGATTCCCAATTTCTAAGCCCGGTAGCTTGTAAGCTGATTTTTCGGTTACCCTTATTGTTTGTGTTCGCGATATATGTATGTAAAGCACAATTTTATTCTACATTAAATTCTCCTGATAACAAACGCATATATTTGGATAAGGATTAATATTGAAAACGAATAAAAGAAAGCCGCAAATAGCGTGCGGTTTTTAATTCATTTTGTAAACAAAAAAGTGGTTATTGTAAGAAAACCGTTAAAGATAGATATATGCTATCGCGAACTTTTCTGTAGAACTTTTTGAGATCTACAATTTTTTCATACATCATTTTTATATACCTCTAACGGTTTAGGCAGCCGAGAAAAGTTAAACTTTAGTGAATTTTTTACGCCGGTGTCCAGAAACACGCTTTTTTTTAATAGTTCCTAAACATTAGTAATAAAATATAGCCATGTTACTCACCTTTCTGATGGTGAAAGAATTTTTAAAATCGCCCAGTGGTTTTTGAGTTATTTCAATATATAAAAAAAAATATCGACGAATTGAGTACCTCCTTCCAAAAATACAAATCTTTCCTCTTTAAAATATTAATATAGATATAGAAATAGATATAGATAACAAACTGAAAGCGAATCATTTTTCCTCTTACCTATGAATATGTAGACAGATATTTACATACGAGCAAAACAATCCTATCGAGTGCAATAAATATTTTTCTGAATTTTAAAAACTGCTATTACTTATGTCAAGAAAAACAAGCATCTAAATATGAATTATGCAATATCTTGCAATTTAAAAAAAACAAAAGGGAGTCAGAGCCTCTACAGCAGTGGTGACGAGGTGCCGGAATACCTCTACGCATGCTCGTACCCCACACATTTTGTGTTCAGCGGGGGTTTTCTTAGGGTGAACAGTGCTCTTGCAAGCTGAATTACAAGAGTATGAAATTAAATAACTCCACAAACACCGCTTACCTGTGTAGAAACGGACTCCCCAGTAGTATTGAAACGCGGCACCTATATATGCTAACGAATCGAAAAACTTTGATAGCGCGATTCAGTAAGAATACCTGGCTTCTCAAAGTTTTCTGACTAAGTAAGACAAGAAAATGTTACCCAATGCCACATTGAAATTCGTTACTAACGATGTAACATTGCAGAGTAGTCTAGGGTACTGTCTGGTTTAGGCACAATTATGATTTTAAATGACCCTACTTCGCGGAGGTCGAAACAATGTTCCTATCATATTTTCACTAAATTTTATTCTTAGATGTTTGCTAGGCAACCAACGGGAAAAGTTAGAAATATCTAATAAGCTGCAAACTTGAGAACCAATGTTTCCATTGTGTATTCCATAATTTACCATCTCCATTTACATTTCGCGAACAGTGTTTGATTTAATGTACAAAAGATGACATGGACAAATAAATACTTACCTAATTCTTATTTTACTTGAAAATTTGATGAAATGCAACTAATATTTTGTATTGTTATTGACTTATAGAGTAAAGAATTTATGATTTTTTTTAACTTAAAATTGTCGTCAGCACATATATGTTGACAAATCATTCATACAGACACAAAGGTCATAGCCTATCCTTAGTTAGGGTGGGGTCAAAAAGTTGGACAACGCATTAGTCCCTGGAACCAGGGATCGAACTCAAATTACAAAACCAGTGCTTTTTTTACGACCTTTGGTGACGCAATATCTAAAGACGCACTTTACTGTAAAATATTCATCAATTTAAAATCATTCGTATTGACTGCATTCGATGAAAACAACTTGCTTTCGAGGTCACACGATTATGCACATCCGTTGTAGACTGCGATCTAACCAGTTTGACCTACCCTCACCAGATTTCCTCATTTTTTTATAATATAAGGTGGCAAACCAGCAAGCGGCCTCCTGAATCCACCGAAATGGAAAGCGACCGCTGCCCATAGACATCCGCAATTGCAGATGCGTTGACTACCCTTACTAGACGGAGGAGGCGACACACATAAAGAGGACATTTTCCCTTCCAATGCGTGTCCTCCGCCGTCAAATCCACTTTTCCTTCCCATACATTCCTCTGACGTAAAGGGTGGAAAGGGAAAAAATGGTTGCCTACCTGGCTATGTTTAATTGATCTTTTTACTTTTAGCTTTGAAGTTTCAGTTTCATTTTTTCCTGCCAAGCCTTTGTTGAATGACAAATACAACAGATCAGTACTATTTTTATAGTCTACATGTCACTTCATTAACTTGTTTACGATTTATTATCTTATAGTTACTAATATTATAAATGCGAAAGTTTAGTTGGATGGATGAAGATTTGTTAGAGTTTGTAGCTTAAGCGGCTGAACGGATCTCAATGAAATTTGCCATGGATGTAGAGGATAGTCTGGAAAAAACACATAGGCTACTTACTTTCTTGTAATTCCACGCGAACGGAGTCGCAGACGAAAGCTAGTTACTAATATATTTGTTAAGGAAAACACTTTCCTATTAAATGTTAACCGAACATATATTGACCAATCATCAACTACATCCAATGCAAAAACAATGTCAACCATTTTAAAGTTAAAACGCAGTGCATGAAAAAACATCGCTTCAAGTACTTACAGCGTGACACCATGATATTGGTACGGAAATATTTACTCAGAACCAAAAATTGTTTTTATCAGTACATAAGTTATTCGAAGAGAAATTATCGCTTACCAAATACACACTAAGTGACGGTTTACGTAATAGTTAAAAGAAATTGTGGGAGTGAAAATATATATTACAAAAATGTAAAATGCAAGTAGTTACTTTATGTTAACATTTAAAGAAACAATTTTCGTGGTGTTGCATATTAGTTGCCGTATAATTCGGTAGAGATTATTTATGAACGGTACTTTTTAGTATAATTCTGAAAGAATATCATCATCATCACATCACCAGCTCACTATACGTCCCCACCGAGGGGTTCGGAGCCTACCCTAATAAGGAATAGGCCATAGTCACGCTGGCCAAGTGCGGGTTGGTTGACTTCACACATATCTGTGAATTTCTTCGCTGATATGTGCAGGTTGCATCACGATGTTTTCCTTCACCGTAAGAACGTCGGGTAAATTACGAGTATGTACATATGAAAATTCGAAAAATCGAGAATCACATTGGTACAGGGCGGGATTCGAACCCAAGACCTGTAGATTACAAGTCAAGTGTTCAAACCACTGAGCCACAGACGCTCATTGTCATTGAAAGAATTTAATTGTATTAAAATTTTCCAAATAATACTGACATTTCGTTCCATATATTTGACAAAACAGAGACAAAAAATAACTGTAAATAGAAACGTCGATCGATGGAAGTTTCTGGAAAGCTTTAAGTCCTATAATTTCGTAAGTTCAATATGGTCATCCTATAAAGGACCATGTTACATGCGAAGGCAAATTGTCTCACTTTGTTTCAATATCTCTCGGAAATTAGACTGCTGCAAGTCAACTTCTGAAAAACTGAAAGTTTAAGTGAAATTTTTGAAGAATGATGAAACCGTAAGTACATTAGGCATTTCATTGAGTGAAATTGTTTCTCTTTATTTAATAAAAAAAACGGTTGTTATCTCATGCAAAACAAT